TACAACGCTAGAAACCGGGTTTGGATACCCGTGGTGGGTAGAGCACAGATAGCCCTTTGTGTAGCTTTGTGCTTAACTACAAGCAAACAAACAAAACATTTAAATTCATGCTTGCATTTTAAGTTTTGTTAGTAGGCTGTCCTGCTTTGGTTTTCAGGTAGTGAACTCTAACTGCTCATTATTACCATGTATTCCATGTTTGAACAGAATATGGACTATAAACAAAATTATTCAAGCTACGTTCTATGAAAGAGCTAGAATTCACCGTAACTTATTAAGGCAGATGTTCATGTTTGATATATTAAGATAAATTACCAAACCATAAATATGCATCACTCGTTCACGTGAGATTACAAACAACTAAAACAAGCCTCTTTTAAGAATTTGAATAAATAAAAACACACAAATAAAACAGGCAAGAAACTAAAATTGATACTAATTTCGAAGAGCAAGGTTGACAAGAAGAAAATGTGTTAATTCCATATTCATGGAAAGTGTACTAAAGATAGTCAGCCAGTTTATCCTCAGAACTCGATTTACATCCGTTCTTCAGGTCGCTATAGTTACACAGTTTACGTTATCCATTATCCGTCAATTTAAATTTAATATGGAATGAGACTGGTTAAAGTTTAATTTATTGCTATAATATCTGAGTATGCCATTTATCCCAAAATAAATGCCAACTCTGTATAGGGATAGACAATAAGGCCACGTTAATAGTACAGATGCGCCCCAGAGGCACAGCGGTATGTCTGTGGACTTATAATAACGCTAGAAAGTGGGTTTCGATATCCGCGATGGGCACCACACAGATAGCCCATTGTGTAGCTTTAGGCTTAGCTACAAATAAAACAAACACTACAGACATCCAGTACTTAACTAATAATTATTGTGTGGAACCAGTACTCCTCTCTCCGTTGTTTACCTTTAGACATCACCAATTTATTACTATTTTTTATTTCGATCTTTCCTTCTGATTTGCTAGGTTTTATCAAGAGATTCTATTAATTCGTGTGTTTTATTTGTGTTATCAGATCGATAATATTTTAAATACTGAGTATTGAAATAAACGTATATGCCCTCACTGTTCAGTTTATTAAATTAGAAACCCATCTAATAGCGAATGAGCAGCCTTTCACCGTTAACATAGTTCGCATAAGGTGTGTCACAGGCCTCTGTTTTATTTGTAAACCACTGGTAGAGGTTTAAAGTTTATTCATTTAAGATTATGGAGGTGAATACAAGTTTTAAAGCCGTTCTATACTGCATATAATAGTATAGATTGCTGCATTATGGTTTAGGAAAAGCTTTTACTCATCATGGTGGAAATATAGCATTGTGGGGATATGATAGATAACGACCATTAAGTACACCCTGGATGATTTTTCATCTCTTCAAAGGAGTAGCATGGCAAAACTATTTCCACAATAATGCTTTCACACCGTTATACAATCTCCAGCATTTCGCACGGCAATAACAATACAATTAGTGTCACGTACCTTATGTAACTATTTCTTCATATTTTTACCTCTGCCGTCACTACAAGAAAGGAAGATACGTAGCTTATCAGATCACACCATGCCATGCTGTATTTGGGGTTAGTTGTCGGGTACCCTAATCACAGTTATTGCAGTGTACAGGAAAGTGAGGTAAGAAGGTCCCCTTTATATAAAATGGCCATCTCTTAATATCATCAGTCATGATATGCTTCCATCAGAGTGAGCTATGTGTAACTATTGTGACCCATAGTATAAACACAGTGATGGACAGGCGCGAATGTAAGTGATTGAAGCGCGACTTCATTTTATAAAAAAATACCTAAGGTATGCACGTTACATTTTTGTGGTTATAAAGTAGATATTTCAGGGAATTTTACTTTGTTGATTTCAAACAATTAGGAATTATAGACAGTCGAATATGCCGTGAAAAAAATACAATTCAAGTTTCCAGATCTTTTACAATGTGGGATGGCTTTATGATGAGTGGCTTAGGGTAAGAAGGCCCCCCGTCTACAGAGGCGTTTTACTCTATATCAATGACCTATATTTCCGACATTGGCTTCGGCTGTAACGTATGTTACTGCCCCATACGAGTACCTACGATATTTTGCACCACTGTCCTAGATAATGCATAACTTGCGTATATTGCATGGCTTTACCGATACTCCCAGAGAGACATTTAATTGATGATTTAAATTAATTAAATTCAGTGCTAAATGATGAATTTGATTTAAATTTCAGTTGTTATGAGTTAGATGAGAACATTTTACACCATCTTTGGGATCCATTTTATCCAACTTTATAAGTAAAACGGCATTCAACCACAAGAAGTGAATTTTTTTTTCAATATCTAAAATAGGATTATGTCAAATCTTTATAATAAAAAAGGGTTTGTTTGAAAAAATATTGCTCTATTCATAACATCCTATATTAACTCATATTGTGTGTTTGGGATTTGCAAAAATCTTCCCATAGTTTTAGAGCTAACAGTAACAAACTTGGCAGATGGACTTGGGGTGGCCAGGGGGGTATTGTTATCTAAATGGTGTAGCTCTAATACCAAGGGGGTGCCAAGTGGGTCTAAAACTCACGCATGATGGTGGTCGAGGAGTAAGTTTCAGGCTAGTTGAATCTGAATGTAGCATTGAATTTTGTGTGTCTGGCCTCTCTTGGTATCTAATGGGCGCCATGTTTGAAACTTTTTTGTACCTACACCTACAAGCTAGCGGTACCAAACAAAAATAAGCGGTGAGATTCCATGTACTGGTACCATATGAGGGTTCGTTTTTGGATACGAACTCCCTTGAGGTGAATGATGAGGATATTTTTGAACAGTGTAACGTAACAGGTATTTCATGCTAGTTCATCTGAATTGGTGAAAAATAACTGAAAGTTAAGATGACGGTTTTACACCACCCTACTGTACTTCGCATAGTAGGTTGGATAAAGTTGGATCTTGACCACTATTGATAGAATTGGTCGATTACGTCATAGTCTGACTTCTAATGCATTTTTACAAGCACTTCCTATAGTCATTTTCTCTAGCTTATCACTAAAGGTTTGCAAAACCATAGTTTCTCAGTGGCAGATATGGTAGAATGAAGGTATATGTCTTTTAACAGTCATTCAAAGAAACTGTATTTATAAATGTTGTTTCTGTTAAGCAGACATTCTTTGAAAGTCAGTAAGATCCTCTTTTTTTACCCATTTTTTCACAGGCTAGACATGATATAATTACATATCTATTTTTACTGGAGTCAAGTAGACGTTGAAAGTATTCTGAGTGTGTGTGTCTTAATGAAGGCACCAATCAGTGCATGTTTAGTCTTGTATTTGATGTTTGTTTTATATTTATAAACGATGTTGGTTTACCGAATTTTCCCCACTTTGAACTACAAGGCTATTCTTCTCATATTCTCAATCTGATTCTTAAATACAGGGTTACCTACTGGCATTACTGTCAACTTCTACATACGTATCATCACACCTGTACTTTAGCTTTCAAACAGAAAGTGTCTTCCATATTCATAACTGCTACGTCCCAATTTTAACTTTAAAGTATAAGATTATGTACCCACATTATCTACTAATTTCCGCGTACATAGTTACCACGTCATCACTATGACATTTAGATATAAGAAAACCGTCAAGGTTGTTTTTCTGATTTCCATGTAACCAGTTAAGATGTCCTTATTACCCCCTCCTGATTATGAGATCATATGTCCACATTGCTCCCTCACTCCCAGTTAAAATATATACTATAAGCATAGGCTTATAACGTTTCCTCAACTCCGTAATACATGTAATATCCAGCTCCGTGTCCCTAATAAAAGCCTACATATCAATAATGTTCCTCGTCTCCTTAATACAAGCATATATATATATATATATATATATACCAACACTAATCCATGTCCCACTAATACAAATATATATATATATATATAGTAACACTAATCCATGTCCCACTAATACAAACATGTATATACTAACACTAATCCCTTTCTCACTAATACAAGCCTATATCTTAACGTCATTCCTCACCCATCTCCCTAATACCAGCTTATATATCAACATTGTTCCATGTCTCCTAACAGAATCCAAAATTGTTCCCCTACTTCAAGCCTACATTTAAAATATTTCAACATTATTTATTTACTGTTCAGTAATATAGACCGACAACCTAACATCGCCCATTATCCCTAGTATAAGCCTACATTGCAGCATTGTTCCTCAATCTGAATATAGTCTAACACTTCAGAATTGTTACTCATCCACTAATACAAGTCTATGTGTCTAAATCTGTTCTCATTTTTTCAATACAATCTTACATTACAACATTATTCCCCATACCCTAATATAGATAATTACTGAATATAATAACTATATATATCAAATTCAAATATTATATCTCAAGATACTTTCTATATTTTTTCTACGATGTTACACGGAATTACGAATTCAAGAACTCACTACCACACAGCTATCACTCCAAATTGAACAGCGCAATCTTTATACAGGTTATTAAGTCTACAGGTTTTGGAAATATAAGCTAGCTTACGTACACATATATTTTCAATCCCTATAACTATAAAGTTACCTCCAACTTGTAAAGCAGGCTGAAAATATTAAGGACTTAATGTTTAGGGTTTGGGATGCAGTGTAATTTGCAGTAAATTAAGTTATACGCTAAGTAGGCTATTCTTTATCAAATACGTATTAAATAACTTTGACCTTATAGCTATTTAAAACTACGTTAATCTTCGTCATGTGAGAAAGAATTATACAGAAGTCTAAAGTAGCTCCACTATTAGTTGGTAGTCGTAAAAAAAAACATTAAAAACTTTTTTCAACAAAAGGAATAAATGGAAACATCCATTACTGCTGCAGCATTACCCTTACTAACGCGAAATCAGTATTTCAAAATTAATGCAGGAATATGTAATGAAAAATGTGCGCTAATACTGAGCTAATAAATCTTTTATGAAATATCTTACTTACTGCAGTAACAATACTCTCATCAGAGTGAAGCCAGCTCCGATCGTATACATAGCCGTTGGTACAGGCCAGTGTTACGTGATCAGAGGTCCTCATTCGAGATCTGTTAGGGTCAAGGTTATTAACTTCCTCGGAGTTGCTGATGTTTGAATAGGTGACCCAGCACTGACCTCTTGATCCCGGTGAGACTGGTGTTTGTTCAGTTGTAACTTTGCTTGTATCTTTAGGTGCACTGGACAAGTTGGACGCACTGGGATCACACCAGTAATATGGAGTGATACTCATAAACAGTTGTTCGTAGTAATGAGGTCCAAATGATAAATGTGCTGGCACAAACACCAGCCAAACCATCAGCATCTGGTACTTGTCGTATTCCCCAACCATTTGTGCTATCCCGTCCCAGTCCATTTTGTCGAAGAGATTCTAACGTCCGCCCGCTTTCTCCGACAGGCGGCAACTGAATGAGCGCGTGGCTAGCGATCGAAGGACTATTATTCGGGGAAACGACTGGCTGTAGCCTTTGCAGCGAGTGATAAACAACATGTGAACTTCTAATGCAAAGGTGGATGATGAACACATGTAGGACACTTGTGAATCAGAGCATCCCTCCATTCACAGAAATCAATCAATTATCAATCAGTTGGTTACTTTCGCACCAACGACTTCAAAGGATGAAAGACGTGGATATTGGAAATCGGTAAAATTTGGCGAAAATTCAGGGTTTCTTAAAGAAAACTTTTGCTTGTTTGTCATAGTGAAAAAAAAAAATAGAGTGATCATCAGGAAACGTTATCTTCTCCAATGACCGAAGTAAGACATCCTCCAATCTTTAAAACTTATAGATAAAAATGCGCACTGTTCAGATCAAAATGACCTTGTTTAACAATACAAACCGCGAAATTAGGACGAGAAAATATGTTGTGGTATTTATATAAATGTTCGCTTAATTTAACAATAAGCATGCCAAAAGTCAAAGTTAGTTGGTTCATTTGATTTAATTGAACACCGGTGATTTTTATTTTTGGATTATATTTTCATTTCACATTTATTGTCACTGCTGTTTAACTCTTTAGATAATCGTCACTAAAAAGTAACAGAAACAATACAGTGATCCTAAAGAACCCTTTACCTTGTTTAACTGTTTAGATAATCGTCACTAAAAAGTAACAGAAACAATACAGTGATCCTAAAGAACCCTTTACCTTGTTTAACTGTTTAGATAATCGTCACTAAAAACCAACACAAACATTACAGTGATCATAAAGAACCCTTTACCTTGTTTAACTCTTTATATAATCGTCACTAAAAAGCAACAGACACAATACAGTGATTCTAGAGAACCCTTTACCTTGTTTAACTCTTTAGATAATCGTCACTAAAAATGAACAGAAACAATACAGTGATTCTAGAGAATCCTTTGACCTTGTTTAACTATTTAGATAATCGTCCCTAAAAGCAACAGAAACCATACAGTGATTCTAGAGAACCCTTTACCTTGTTTAACTCTTTAGATAATCGTCACTAAAAATGAACAGAAACAATATAGTGATTCCAGAGAACCCTTTACCTCGTTTAACTCTTTATATAATCGTCACTAAAAAATAACAGAAACAATACAGTGATTCTAGAGAACCCTTTACATTATTTAACTGTTTAGATAATCGGCAGTAAAAACCAACACAAACATTACAGTGATTCAAGAGAACCCTTTACCTTGTTCAACTCTTTATATAATCGTCACTAAAAAGGAACAGAAACAATACAGTGATTCTAGAGAACCCTTTAACTTGTTTAACTCTTTAGATAATCGTCACTAAAAACCAACACAAATATTACAGTGATTCTAGAGAACCCTTTACCTTGTTTAATTCTTTAGAAAATCGTCAGTAAAAAGCGACAGAAGCAATACAGTGATTCTAGAGAGCCCTTTACATTGTTTAACTTTTTCACTTTCACGTTTATAGATAAACAATCTCCCAAGTTTGAGTTTATTTTTGATACACAATAAATAAACAAAGAATCACATATTGTAATATTTCATTAGTTATGTGAAACTTAAAAAAGGAGGGAGATTTGAAGAGGAATAATACGTTTTTTTGATGGTGATACAAAATTACAAACTCCTACGTCAGTACTCTTGTGGGGGAACATATATGTGTCCCTGAGTACTCTAAAGAGGGACATATATGTGTCTATGAGTGCTCTAGAAATGACATATATGTGTCCACGGCACTGCTGGAAGACATATATATGTGACCATGGTAGTGTTCTAGTAGGGGACACACACACACACACATATGGCAGAGTTCTAGAGAGTGACGTATGAGTGTCTATGGCAGTTCTCTAGAGGAGGACATATATGTGTCTATGGCAGGCTTTAGTTGGGGGACGTATAAGTCCCCACGGTAATGAAAGAGTGAAGGAAATCCCAGGAGAGATAAAATATATCACGCAAGCTTGTTGTGTAATCCACGTAATCTGGTCTTTATCCTATGAACTTTTGTATCCTGTGGAAAAAAATCTTTACATTTACCACTTTTAGTTATTACCGTTGTTTAAAATAGCCGAAACTGCACGTTTATGCTACCATGCCCATGTGATCACTAATTACGTGTATATGACGAGGGCGGATTTATTGATGTAACCAGATAATGTTCGAATTAAGACGTGGATATGATAAACAAAATAATATTTCTTGGAGAGTTTGTAATTATAATTGATTTCAAACAAAATGTCACGGTTTGAAGATGAAGCGAATTGGCGAGCTTCGATTCTCAACCAAACGATTCACGGTTAGAGTCCCATTGACATCCAAATTGACTGTACATTTTGGGGGCATGGATGTGATATAAGGGTGATATTAGAATAGCTCAAGAGCCAGCAATGAAAGTTGTTGATTAGTTTTAGTTAAAGTTAGGACGGCTATATCAGACCTCATGGCGGCTTAGCGGTAAGTGTGAAGGCTTATAATGCTAAAAATTGGATTTCTACACACGCGGTGGTGAGAGCACAGATAGGCCGTTGTGTAGCTTTGTGCTTAATAAAAGATAAAAAAAAATCTATGCACAGATAATCTATTTCTTTCCCTTTGGGTTAAAACTATATATATATAAACTAACCAAAACAGCTTATTCTGAAAAAAATTTGTTATAAAAATAATAAAATGATTTTGGTGTCCACGTTTAATACTTCTTAGAGCTGTTTTAAGGTTAACTGCTGCATAATAAGATTTTGATTTGATTTGTTTGAAGTTAAGCACAAACTACACAATGGGCTGTCTGTGCTCTTCCCACCACGGGTATCGAAATCGGGTTTCTAGCGTTGTAAGTCCGCAGACATACCACTTTGCCATTTGGAGGCATGCGTATTAAGAACACAGTTTTAAAGACCAGTAAGTTTATTCTAATATGTTATTCGTAGCAATACTTCGTCAGGAGGGAGAGTATATGACATTGCTGGGAAAGAAGAGTTACATTTCTTATTCTTTATTCGGTCTCTTATAGTTTTCCCAGAAGAAGTAAAGTTCTCTTCTACTCAAAAAACACCCAATACTGTTATTATTTTCTTAGGCCTAGCATGGCTTTATGATTAGGGCGCTCGACTCCAGTTCGAATTCTGTCGCCGAACATGCTCGTTTATATGGTTGTCTATATGTTTGTTTTGAATTTCGCGCAAAT